TGTAGGCTGCTGCATAGCCGATACCGTCGATGCCGTAGAGCATGTTGACATCACCAATTACCCAGAACAGACCTGAAACCGACTGTGTCAAATCCCGCGGAGGTTCTATCCCTGGTACCGGCGATAAATGCTGGACGGATGACGCTGTGGTTGGTACGCTTTTTGAAAGCGAATTGTCGAATGGTCGACGCCAACCAATACCACACGCTGGAGACAAAGTAGATACCGATAGTTTGCGAGAATACGAACTGAACCTAAGAACGGAAAAGTGAACGTTGAGTGGTAAGGTCGATATTCAACCCTACCGCCATCATATCTTTCCCTTGTTGCGTCTGAATCCACAAAGCATACGGCCAACCGTTCATGGCCGTCAATACACCCGCTGCTATCGCCAATACGATGCCTGTGATGAAACGAAGTAATGAGGAGGAGTACACTAAAGGGAGCATACCTGCTAGTTTGATTGCTTGTGCTCTGCTCGCACCGAAAAGATACTTCCGACGATGTTGACTGGCAGATGTAGAGTCTTTGACCACAACTTCATCTTCGTCGACACATTGCCCGGGAGAGCTCACGTCAGTGTGGATCGGCGCTGAGTTCTTGTGGCGGACACTCTGTGATGGTCTCTCCTTAGTTTTCAGAGGAGTGGTAGTGGTCTTGGCCTCCTCTGGTTCAACCCAGAATAGCATTATGAAGGAAACGAGGAGGACGAAGACTCCGATGTCGCGAAGGAGTGGTATGCGACCGACGTCCTGGTCCATGCCGAAGAGACCGAATCGACTAAGGCAATACCCCCATGAGAGATTGATGATGTGATAGAGGGAGAAACCTAGCGCTAGCCCGCAGATCCGTACTAGAGGGATAACGAGGAAGTTGGCAGAGCCCCATAGCATGCCGGAAAGGACACCATAGAGAATCACTTGAGGGCCGGGCCAGTCAAGGGCAAGCATGAGGATGAGTTGGAGGAGTATACCTCCCCAGATGATGCCACTGCACATAAACCATTGGAAGACGGCACCGTCGAAGGTGGTGTACTGCTTACAGGGAACGTATTGTATACCGTAGAAGAAGGCAGCTAGTAGAGTGCAAGTAATACCAACGCCGAAGGAGACATCAGCCATGGTGATCGATATAAGCGGCTGAGGGAGAGGAGTGGACCTCATTTGTATCTTACACGAGTCAACCTAAGATTCCCATGCTAAATGGTCGTCCGTAGAGCATTCGTTCATTTATCCACTGGTATATGCAACTCCATATCTCTTCTCAGCTGCACTCACTGTCAATACTCCCTAGCACCAATACCAATCATACCTGCTGGCTAACTAGCGGTAAATCGATGAGAGTGGAATCGAAGAACTAATGACACAACGGCGCTAGGAAATAAATAGAAGTGCTAATATGTGTAATAATAGTAATACAGCTCAGTGCTAGCTGTACAGTGTAATATAGTAACGATAATTGTTGTTCATTAGCATTCATTCGATGGATTGAATCAAATCTTGCCTGACGTAGAGTGTGGGTGGAGGTTGCGACATATCAGAATGATGATGGTGAGAGCCACGGTACTAGTTATGAACGTGTACGTTATGAACTAGTTATGTGCTAGTTATGAACGTTAGCCACGGCAATACACGTTGTAGACCAACGTGTTGTTATGGTGCTCTGATCATCAGAGTCTGATGTTCAGATGAACCATACTCTAGCAGACAGAGAATACTGTTGGCTTCTGGCTGTAGGTTGAATGCGGGTCTTAGCCAACTACAGGGTGTTTCAGCAAGAATGTGCTTTTTTGAACAACTCCCTGTTCAAGACGAAGAACGGTTTACACACCGTTCGAGGGCTCCTACGGATGGCTTTTAGATGATATGGAAGACACTAATAAATTCACCTCTTGTCTTGATCAGAGAGTTTCTCAAAAAAGTACATTTTTTTCTTTGAAATTTCGTAGAGCCAGAATTTTGTAGTTTGTGTTTCGCAAACATTATCGACTCGGAACCGCACTGACAGTAGCATTCTCGTCCGCCTATCCCACTTCGCTGTGCATAGGATTTTATAATCACAAGCTGTTCACTGTTGATGGAAAGTAGGTAAATCTCGACATCTTGCCGGATCTTGCGCAAGCCTCATGTTTCGGAGTCGACATATCGGTTGGCAGCCATCTTGGTGAAAAGGTAAAATCTAAGGAAGATCTCCATTTCCAAGGGAACAATCTCGCTCGCCCATTTTTCACTTAAACGTGCTGGCAGCACGGTAGCCGCCGATTGGCCTTTCTAAGTACCCCTCAGTGTACTTATCTGTGTGATAACGTATGTAGCTGAATTCCGACGCCTCGAGCTCCAGGCAGGCGAGGGGTAAGCGTCCTGAGAAAGCTTAAGAAGCGTTGCGTTAGTAGAAGAGGGTCTTCGTGATTTAGCTTGGCAGATGAAACCCGCAGGGAAGTTCGAGGGGGCTATGGGCAGCTAGGTTGCAGAGCAAGTTGCTCTGCGCAACACATTATCACGAGAAACTCCGTGATCACTAACAGATTTCTAACGTACGAGGGAGTTGGGTCACCAGTGAAAGATAAACAACCTAGATGCCTTAACAGCAAGGCAGAATCCAAACCGCAAAACCAAAA